GCACAAGTAAACCACTGATGCCAAGGAGACGGTTTAAGCTGAATTTCAACAAAATGATTCTTTTCATGTCTAAATAAATCTTTCTTTGAGACATTTTTTTCCCTTCCATGAACATGAGTGTGGAGCCTTGTGTAAAAAAGTTAGTCTCAGTGCCAATCTGACTAGGCAAGGCAAGTTTATTTATATAGCACTTTTCATACACAATGGTAATTCAAAGTGCTTTACATAAAATTATTTAAAATAATCATAGAAATAATCACAATAATAGAAGCAAGGAATTAAATTTTAAAATGATTTAAAATAAAATTAAAACAGTTAAAAATAGAAAATGATACCTACAATACGGTGCAATCAGTTCGGACGTAGCACAGTGCTTTCAGTAAAAGTACAACTAAATAGATGTGTTTTGAGTGGATTTAAATATGTCTACTTATTTAGCACATCTGATCTCTTCTGGAAGCTGGTTTCAACTGCGGGCGGCATAATAACTAAAAGCAGACTCCCCTTGTTTTGAGTGAACCCTTGGAATTTCTAACTGACTTGATCCTAATGATCTGAGTGGTCTGTTAACCTTAAATTCAGTGAGCATATCTGCAATGTATCGAGGTCCTAGGCCATTGAGTGATTTATAAACGAGTAATAATACTTTAAAATCAATCCTAAATAACTGGAAGCCAGTGTAAAGACCCGAGGACTGGTGTGATATGCTCAGATTTTCTGGTTCTAGTCTACCTCGATTTGCATATCTGTTTCTAATAAAATAAGGTGACTGAGTGGCATGCTTATTTTTTTTCCAAGTGTATTCAGTGGTAAAACATTCTTGTAAAAGTGGTCATGAGGAGCTTAACATGGTTACACTAATTTCAGCCATTTCATATTTAATCAACTGGATCTATTTCGATCATTATGCTGAATCTGGTGAACAAAAATGCTCAAATTCTAGACCATTAATGTTGAAATAAATGAAGACAAACTAAAATGATCATGATTCATGATTTAGTCAGGAGTTAAAACATTTATGTTTTTATCCCAGGTAGAGCCTGCATCCATTTCAATGGCTGTTACTTGTAGCTGGTGTTTTTAATGTTTTTTTTTTTTGTCTTATTCAGATCATAAGATTGCTACAGTAAATGTAGTAAACCAAAACAACCCACGGGTTCCATATAAATTATTTTTTTGTGAAAAGTATATTCCTTTCAGTAAAGCATGGTGGCCTGTGACAAGCCAGAAAAAAAATAAAATTCTATTGATATGTTAAAACTACAGAATAAGGGTTTTAAAGTAAAGCTGAGGGATGACCTCAAAATCAGGACATCAGAACTGGATTTGTTTATTTATATAGCACATTTCATACACAATGGTAATTCAAAGTGCTTTACATAAAATTATTTAAAATAATCATAGAAATAATCACAATAATAGAAGCAAGGAATTAAATTTTAAAATGATTTAAAATAAAATTAAAACAGTTAAAAATAGAAAATGATACCTACAATACGGTGCAATCAGTTCGGACGTAGCACAGTGCTTTCAGTAAAAGTACAACTAAATAGATGTGTTTTGAGTGGATTTAAATATGTCTACTTATTTAGCACATCTGATCTCTTCTGGAAGCTGGTTTCAACTGCGGGCGGCATAATAACTAAAAGCAGACTCCCCTTGTTTTGAGTGAACCCTTGGAATTTCTAACTGACTTGATCCTAATGATCTGAGTGGTCTGTTAACCTTAAATTCAGTGAGCATATCTGCAATGTATCGAGGTCCTAGGCCATTGAGTGATTTATAAACGAGTAATAATACTTTAAAATCAATCCTAAATAACTGGAAGCCAGTGTAAAGACCCGAGGACTGGTGTGATATGCTCAGATTTTCTGGTTCTAGTCTACCTCGATTTGCATATCTGTTTCTAATAAAATAAGGTGACTGAGTGGCATGCTTATTTTTTTTCCAAGTGTATTCAGTGGTAAAACATTCTTGTAAAAGTGGTCATGAGGAGCTTAACATGGTTACACTAATTTCAGCCATTTCATATTTAATCAACTGGATCTATTTCGATCATTATGCTGAATCTGGTGAACAAAAATGCTCAAATTCTAGACCATTAATGTTGAAATAAATGAAGACAAACTAAAATGATCATGATTCATGATTTAGTCAGGAGTTAAAACATTTATGTTTTTATCCCAGGTAGAGCCTGCATCCATTACAATGGCTGTTACTTGTAGCTGGTGTTTTTAATGTTTTTTTTTTTTGTCTTATTCAGATCATAAGATTGCTACAGTAAATGTAGTAAACCAAAACAACCCACGGGTTCCATATAAATTATTTTTTTGTGAAAAGTATATTCCTTTCAGTAAAGCATGGTGGCCTGTGACAAGCCAGAAAAAAAATAAAATTCTATTGATATGTTAAAACTACAGAATAAGGGTTTTAAAGTAAAGCTGAGGGATGACCTCAAAATCAGGACATCAGAACTGGATTTGTTTGATGTTTATTGTAATGGAAAGGGTCTCAGTCTAATAGGTGTGCTGTATAACATTACAAAACTTACAAATTTGAATTCAAGATGAAGGGACATATTATCAAGGACATGCAGTGGATAGAAAAAGACCAAGGTAAGTCATTTCAGAACTTTTTCCACCTTTAATGTGACCTGTACAACTCAATTGAGAAACAACCTGTAATCTTTTTTTTTTTATTTAAAAATAAAAAAACTAGAATGTGTGCACACACTCTTATAACTGGGGATGTGGCTGTGTTCAGAATTAAGCAATCACATTCAAACTCATGTTAAATAGGAGTCAGTACACACCTGACATCATTTAAAGTGCCCCTGATTAACCACAAATAAAGTTCAGCTGTTCTAGTAGGCTTTTCCTGACATTTTCTTTAGTCGCCTCTTACAGCAAAAGCCATGGTCTGCAGAGAGCTTCCAAGGCATCAGAGGGATCTCATTGTTAAAAGGTATCAGTCAGGAGAAGGGTACAAAATAATTTCCAAGGCATTCGATATACCATGGAACACAGTGAAAACGGTCATGATCAAGTGGAGAAAATAAGGCGCAACAGTGACATTACCAAGAACTGGACGTCCCTCCAAAATTGATGAAAAGATGAGAAAACTGGTCAGGGAGGCTGCCAAGAGGCCTACAGCAACATTAAAGGACCTGCAGGAATTTCTGGCAAGTACTGACTGTGTAGTACATGTGACAACAATCTCCCGTATTCTTCATATGTCTGGGCTATGGGGTAGGTTGGCAAGATGGAAGCTTTTTCTTATGAAGGAAATCATCCAAGTCCGGCTACATTTAGCAAAAACACATTTGAAGTCTCCCCAAAAGCATGTGGGAAAATATGTCATGGTCTGATGAAACCAAGGTTAACTTTCTGGCCGTAATTCCAAAGGGTATGTTTGGCGCAAAAACAACAGCACATAACCAAAAGAACACCATACCTACATTGAAGCATGGTGGTGGCAGCATCATACTTTGGGGCTGTTTTTCTTCAGCTGGAACTGGGGCCTTAATCAAGGTGGAGGGAATTACGAACAGTTCCAAATACCAGTCAATATTGGCACAAAACCTTTAGGCTTCCGAGAGAAATCTGAAGAGGAAGAGGAACTCAAAAACCCAAAGCATACATCCAAATCAACAAAAGAATGGCTTCACCAGAAGAAGATTAACGTTTTGGAATGGCCCAGCCAGAGCCCAGACCTGAAAGAAAAGGATATGAATAATTATCTGGCTTTTGCTATTTATCAGAATTCTCATTGAGATATCTTAAATTATGGTTATCTATTTTATTTTTATCATTCATGGGATTTTAAGTACAACTAAAGCATGGGCATTTTTCGGGTCCCTGGAACATATTTCAGGTTGGAATGAGTAAAAAACTTTGTACGTTAAGTTGGCACGAAAGCACCAAAAGCATAATGGTGGGTTTAGAATGGGTGGCCTGTTTGGCCAAACTACCTGATAGTTTCCATACTTGACCAAAGAAGTTTCCAAAATTTAGTTTGGTTGTTTGTGCTTACTTGATTAGGATTTGAACCATTTAGGTTTTATTCCTATTTTTACAATTTTCACAGAACCATGGGAACCTCGTATAGAAGACGAAGAAATGACGTAGTGGAGCAAACATTACACAATGCCCCCAAAGAAAGACCAATCAAACACTTCAAGTACTTTTTACACAATGTCTTTTATTTTTTTTCTAATTACAGACTCATGGGTTAAAAATAAAATAAAAAAGGAAAACATCTTTTCTCTTTTCGTCCATACCCACTCCCCCATCCGAAAAAGGAAAACGAACAGAAACGAGAAACCCTCTCCACACAAATCCTCCCTCCCTCCCCCCGAAATAAAAGCTCAGAAGCCCTCCTTAAGTAACCGATACCGGTAGCCCACGCGTTAGTGCTCCATCGTGCCCTAACTGCACTGTGCACTGAGAAAGACAAGGCTCTAAAAGAACCCTCCTCTTCAACCTCTTTCTGGTCCTGCCTCTCTCACTCACTCGCAATTTAAGCAGCCATTGCTCTATCATGGCTCTGCCTTCATGATATATAAATTTGTGGTGGATGTGTGCGGTGTATGCGGTGTGTCTGTATGTCTGTGTTAACATGGGCCTGGTGCATCTCAGTATATTCATGTTGGTAAAGCTCAGCGCTTGTTATTGTAATAAATGCCTCCCGCAGTGGGCCGGTGGTCGCCCTGTCCACCTCCCCCACCCCCCCACATGGAGAGGATGGGGTGAGTGTGCATAGCGGGAGCAGAAAGAGACAGAGACGCCGCCGAGACGGTAGGGGGTGCTGCAGCCACGGGAGGAGGGGTAGTCAGCCTCCACTGGTCCTGAAACCTGAAACGACAAGAAGTGGTCTAATATACAAAGAGAGAGAGCATGAGAGACAGGAGGGGGGGTGGCAGAGAAGCAGCACAGGAACAGGGAAAGAATGGTCGGGAATGGCATATGGTAGCGTGAGACAAAAAAGAACTTTTAAAACACAAAAGAAAAGATCTCAGAGCTCAGGCCATGCCATCTTACAATAGTCGTATGGTGTGGAAGATGGTTCAAGAACAGTAAAACATAAAAACAATGCCGAACTCTCAACCACTGTCGGAATAACACAGGTGGAGGAAGTAATCCGAGTGAGGGATGAACAGGAAAGAAACCAATGCTGGAGGGAAAAGGGATTCCAGAGAGCACAAACAAATAATAGAGAATATGATCTCAAATAGCACAACTTTGTGAAAACAACAACATTCTTGCTATTAAATTGTTCACATATTCACATTACAATCATTAAAAAAAAAAAAAAAGTTAACATTTTTTTTCTTTTCTGTTTGCCTTTGAGTGCAAACATAAGGGGCTGTTTGGTGAGAGAAAAATCACAGCCAGACAAAAGGACACACATCTGCAGCCTGAGATTACAAATGCTTCTCAAATTTAAACAAATGCCACCAAATCTCCCCAACGGACATATTGTACCTTACCAGGGCGATCGCAACACCTCCTCACACGCACGCGCACACACAATCGCACACTGCGGCCAGTCAGTCTGTCTTTCCAGGAGATGCTCTTTTTTTTTTTGTTTGTTTTTTCTTTTTTTTGTCTTTTTTTTTCTTCTTTTTTTCTTCCTTTTTTGAGAGGGGTCTTTTTTTTTCTTTTCTATAGGGATACGGGATGATAGTAAGGGGGGATTTCATAGGGGGGTGGGGAGGTATTAGTAGGGGGAGTACCACGATGTTGTTCGCCCTCGGCCCCTGGAAAAGAGAGAGAAAAAGAGGGTGAGTTCTTTTTTTGTGGTTGGATTAAGACGACGGACACCAATTCAAATTTTTGGGGGTGTAAGTGTTTGTATGTCAGTAATATGCATTTTAAAGGGCCTTATCGTTTGAGGACAAGGTGAACATTTATTTATGCACTCATGTTTCAGGTATACACATTAATTCAAAAAATGAAATGCAATGTATACCCCTCTTCTTCTGATAAAAAGTTTTAATTAGTGATTAATGCAACCATGTATAAAGAATCCAGTAAATGTTTTTTAATACAAAGGGAAGCTGAGGGAAGATTATCCAACAGCAGAATGTGTGTTTGTTATATTCAGGCTTTAGAAATAGTCTAGTGTCCAGTGTAGGGGACAGTGAAAGCACGCTCTCCCTCTTTCTCTCTCTCTGAACGGGGCGGCTCCTGTGGTCTCTGTAAAGGAGAGATCCTGGGGAAATGAACCCTCCAACACATGCACACACAGTTACAGTCAGCGACACACAGCTCTCCACATATGGACTGGGCCACACACACACACGCTCACTCATATACATCAACAAATGCAGGGGCATCCATTCAGGCAGCCAGAGATGCCCTTCATTCACACAAAACCCCTCAAGGAACAGCCTGTGCACTTGAGGGCACAGAATCCTCTGTGTTATCGGTTGGATACTAAAACAGTCAATATCAGGCTGCAGGAATGAACCCTCCATTCTGGAAGTGAACATTATTAATCATGCGAGGGGGTGAAAATGAACTAAAACGGGCTTTTCTGAACCAAACTTGCCTGAGTTCAAACACACACATGCCTTCAAGTTAATCAGAGCTGAGCTTGACATCCAGCTACATACTCAACCTAGTTTATCTTGTTTTACAGTCTAATCCCATTGGCTAACTGTAAAAATGTGCAATCATATAATGACCTACTTAATATCAAATATATTTCAAATCTGGATATAAACTTGGGTGTGGGATAAAATAAATATTTAAACCCATCAAAAACCTTTTACAGGGCATTAACTCAAGCTCCACTCCAACAAAAAAGTCAAAGTGTGGCAGTGCACGTACAAGAGTTTTCCAAAAAACTGATGGACAAGATTCTGATTCATAAAGTGCTTTCACCCTACCAGATCTTTTAATACAAAGAACAGGAAATATTCAAACGCTCCCAAAAATCTTCTATTTACATCCCTTCATCACCAAAACTATTAAAGCCAAAAGAAATCGAGTGCTAAATCCACCCAGAGGGCCTAACAGGATTTAGGTTGTGTCCCAAAACCTAGTGAAGTGCCCATCTAAAGAGGACCACGGGCCTTTTTAAAGAGGTCATATGATGCGATTTCAAGTTTTCATTTCTCTTTGGAGTGTAGCAAGCTGTTCGTGAATAGATAAGATCCCTAAAGTTGCAAAGACTAAAGTCTCAAACCCAAAGAGATATTCTTTATAAAAGTTAAGACTCGTCCACACCCTCCTAAAATGCCTCGTTTAAACACGCCCCCACGTCTACGTCACTGTGTGGGAAGATTTGCATAACTCCGCCCAAATGTTCACGCAAAGAAAGGCGGAATAACTTTATTGTTGCTGCCGCTGCCATGTCATGTCATGAAGACACTGTGTGTTTCGTTGCGAAAGCGAAACTACTTTGTTTGGCCTTCCAAAAGAGGACTAGAAATCAGTGGTCAAGTTGTATTTACAACACTGTTCCAGAACACTTCAACCCAAATATTCAGATGTGTCCAGCGCATTTTATGGAGGACCATTTCCTGATCCTGGTAGAGTAGACTACTATGCCATCTGTTCTGACTCACAGACTGTAAGTACGTTTTCATATTTAAAGAATTTGCCACTGATGATTCAAACGCGAGTTTTGAGCAGTGTAG